CCCTTCCCCCCCATTCCTGTTCCCACAGTCTCAGAGTCTGCAGCTGGAGCGGGAGATGTATTTGGCTTCAAACTGCACCTTGGCCAGGGTGAACCTGTCCCTGCGCCCGCGGCTGGAGGACAGGAAGGCTTCCCTAGCCGTCAAGTACCAGGAGCTGCAAGGGACACGAGAGGCATGTTGGGACAAGCAGCAGTGCCTGGGTGAGTGGGGCACAGCCAATGGGATGAGGCAGAGCCCGGCACAGCCAGAGCAACCTGCGTTAATATGAGGGCCCGGGTGGGCTCAGCACCCTCAAACATGCCCCGGGAAAATGGCTCAGCCATGATCAGGAGCAGTCGGGGCTGATGCTGCCTGCGACATAGCCAGCCCTCAGCTGGGACCAATGCTGCAGTGGGATGCAGGCCTCAGTATGCAGGTGGCTCCAGGGATGTGTTTGGGGGTGTTTCAGTTCAAGGGTGGGGGACCTGATGCTTGGGGATGGGAAAGACCACAGCCCCAGCAATGGGGGACATCCAGGGAGAGGTTTGTTGGCAGCCCCATCCCCTCCCAACACAGAGGTGTACCTGGAGAACTGGAGCCTGCAGAGCGCTCTGGGCCAGCTCCAAGCCAAGCTCTATGCCTCTGAGGCAGAGTCAGAGGTGAGTCAGGCAAGACCCCTGTGCTGCTGCCCCTTCCTCGCCTGGGCCCCAGACTCCTCTCCATGCCCTCCCGTGTGCCAGGCTCTGGAGAAGTGGCTGGGGCAGGGCTCAGCCATCTGGGCTCCCTCTGTGGTCCCATGGCTCTCTTGGCTTGATGCTGTCCCACTGCCCATCCCACAGGCACAGACAGAGGAGTTCCTGGCCCAGGACCTGCCCCTCAATTCCTTTCTGGACTCCTTCTGCCAGAGCCGCACCCGCTCCCACATCTGCCAGATGCAGCTGGAGAAACTGCAGGAGTTGCTGCAGAAGGACCAGGTGGGCAGGGACCCTGCAGGCTCCGCGGGGTACCCAGGTGCCCTGGCTAGCCCAGCATCAGCCTGCCTTGCCCCGTTGTGGAGTGGAGTAGCCCCCAAAGCCTTTGATCTCTCCTATGGCTTTGTGCCCGCCTTTCTCATCCCCTCGGAGGCCGTTGTGCCCTTTGCCATATTGGCTGCACCTCCCAGACACCATCTTCCAGCCCTGGGACACCAGTCAGCTTCTCTGTGCTCTGAAATCCCCAGCCCAGACTCAACCCCTGTGCCTCATTGGACACATTCCCCTGCTCAGCCCCCAGCCCCTCCGCAGGCAGCAGTGGCTGCAACACCAGAAGCAGGATCCTCCGCACCAGTAGCAGGGCAGGGACAGGGGACATCCCCAGTCCTGGCCCTGTGCCTCTACGGGGACTGCAGAGGAACACCCTGGCTGGGGAACACGTGGGGGTGGGTATGCGGTGTAGGCACAGCTCTGAGGGGCTGCAGTGTCTGTCGGGCAGGCACAGGGGTGGGTACTCACAGGGGGATGGAGGTGCTTGACTGAGGGTGGGATGGGGCGGGTGCTGTGGCCAGGCAGTGGGGCCTGCACTTGGGGAGCTGCCGGGGGTGAGGTCTCTGCATCCACAGCAAGAGGAACAGGGACAGGAGGTGGGGGCAGGTGTTTTGTAGGTCTCTGCATCCACAGCAAGAGGAACAGCGACAGGAGGTGGGGGCAGGTGTTTTGTAGGGATGTCAGTGGGCTCAGTTGGGTGGGACATAGCAGGGAAGAGGGTCCAGGAGCACTGGGTGCCATGTGCTTTATAAATAAAGGCTTTTTTCCACACTCTGTGTTACCCCTTGGCCCTGGCTTTTAATAGATGGATGGGACAGGCAGGGAGGAAGTGGTTGTGGGGGGACACTTGCCGGGCTTGGAGATAACTAGCAGTCAAGGAGAGCCCTCCAGCAGGGGGAGCCCCCAGGCTCAGCGCACCTGCACTTGGCCCAGCCCATCAACACCCTGGGGAATGGGAGAGCCCCTACAAGGTGGGCAGAGAGCCCAGTGAGTGTCAGTTTCCCCCAGGCAGGTGTCATGGACCATCTCCCAGTGGTTTGGCCCCATGCATGGTGAAGACTTCTGGTAACCAGAGATACCTCATGCCAGCAGCCGAGTCCTTGCTCCCATGAAGAGTTACACCCCGCAGCCAGCCAGGCTTGCTCATGGCTCCACAGCAGCTGGTCTCTTCAGCTTGTGTGCAGCCCTGCAGTGTTTTTAGTACCCATTCCCCATCCACCCTCTTGCACTAGCCCTGACTTCAGTCACCACTTGAAAAGGCAACAGGAGGCCTGAGCTCACCTTCTTCCATCCCAGGCTCCTCTATTGCTTTTCTTAATTCCACACAATGGATGGTGAGACAAGGTGGGGGGGATAGCCCTGGTTCTTCCAGCTGCAGACCCTGGGGTACTTGTTCCCTGCTCTGCGGTGTCTCTTGTGCTGTTTCTAGCTTTTAGATTTGGTTTCAGGTTCTTCTCATGCTTTCAGCCCCTGTCTGGTTGTGGCATTTTTTTCTTTCCCAGTTGCATTCCCATCCTGCAGCTTGGCACTGTTATATAGACTGCTTAGAAATCATCCAAAGCAGCAAGGGCCCCTGGCTCTGGCTACAAAGCACCCCAAAATATGGACCATTGGCTTGCAGTCTCTGATCACCCCCTCCACCACTGAGGGTGCCCCACCCTTACTCTAAACTCCAGCCCTCACTTGTGGAACTGGGGCCACTCATCCAGTATATTGAATTAAAACAGGTTTAAGACTAGGATAAATTGGGAGCCAGACACCTGTGGCTTTATTGGCAGGCAAGGAGATGGCAGTCACTGGAATATCTGGGGTTTCACAGAGTACCTTCTGCTTTCCTGGGTCCCACTAGGCTCAGTTTGGGCTCAGCCTGTCAACAAAAGGTGGCAGGACACACCTGATTGATTGCCACAGTCAGGCTCTGTGACCTGTCACATGGCAGAAGGAAGGACCGTAGCAGGCTGGTGACCATGGCATGAGAGCTTGGTTGGGTTCCTAATACCAGCCCCACAGGGCTAACCTAACCCGGGAAATAAGGGGACCAAGCAGGAGCACTTAGGAGGCCAGCTGGTCCATGTGGGACCATCTGTGCTGTCTGGAGGGGGTTGTGGCAGCCCTGTCCTACGCAGTGTCCTGGGGTCCCCAGACAGTTGTCAAGGCTACTCCAAGGGCTGTACTGGATGCTGTGCGAGATGACCAGAGTTGTGGGTGCAGCATGGGGATGTGGGCCCAAGTGATGTGTGTGTGTCAAGCTATGAGGGCTCTGAGCACGCACACACAAGGGATGGTGGTGGTTAAGCACAAGGCTTCTCGCTGGGGATCTCGATGCCCACCTGGGAGAGGAAGGCCACTTGGCTCAGGAGGAAAGGACCCCAAGGTGATGGCATGAGGATATGGTGCATGCTGGAGCCCAGATCCAGGCACCTGTATGGGCTGAATGCCAGCCAAAAGCAATGCTGATGAGCTGCATCACTGTCCTGCAAGATGGGACCAGGTGCAGCACTGGGGCTTGCACATGCGACTGTGCACAAGGAGCCAAGCCACCTGAAAACCAGCCAGGCACAATCAGTGGGTCTCCCCAGCCAGTGCCTGCCTTGGCTCCCCAGGGCTGGGCAGTCCCAGACAAACTTACCTGGCCCTGAGCAGGTACTGAGTCACCTTATGGCAAGAGCAAATGTGGCCCCAGGAGTGTGAACCCTCAAGGTGAGCAGCTGGCTCTCTCCAGCCTAGGGAGGGTGAGTGTGTCCCACTGGAGCTGACAGCACTAAAAGTAATGGTCCAAAGAACAAAGTGAGCTGGGCTGCTGTGGCCCTGACTGGCTTTCTGTCTATAGAAGCCCTGCAGCACCCCCAAGCGCCTGCCCAGCTCAGGTAGCTGTGGGCAGGCTCTGGCAGCTGGGCTGGCCACCACCCCACTTCAGCCAAGGTCCTTTAACCACTGGGAAGCTGCTAAGCAAGGCAAGCCCCTGCCGTGGGGATGTTCCTCCAACCCTGGAGTTGGTCCTGTCCAGTCTGGAGCATGTACTGCCCCAGGTGGGTGGCCAGACCTCTTGAGTTGCAGTGGCCCCAGTGGGCAGTGTACATGCAGTGTTAGTGCACCCTGCACCTCTGGGGAATGTGTCAGCAGTGGGTATCTGCTTCTTTGTTCCCAGAATGCATGGTCAGTGCCTCACTGTACTGGCAGTTCCCGCCCCTTCCGCAGGCAGGCCTGGGCTGAGGACAAAGTCCTGCACAGGGCACAAGGTGGGGACATTGGTAACAGGCAGGAGCTGGCAGCAGCACAGGATGATCCCTCCGTGTTCCTCCTTGCCTGTACAGTGGTTCTCCCTGCCTGCACCAAGCACTGCCTGCCCCACAGGGCCACTCAGGTCGAGGGGGGTCAACATGCCCCTGCTCACCCTGGGGAGGAAGAGGAAGCGTTGCCACCAGGTGTGCACCTGCATTCATTTCTATACTGGGTCAGGCAGCATCCTGGGGCCAGCTCAGCCCCTCTGCCAGCTGGTGTGCAGCCAAACCCAGCAGGCGCAGGCAGGGAGCTGGCCCTGCCAGCTCTGTGGCCTCCCCAGAGCCCCCAGGCCTGGCTTTTCAGAAGCCAAGGTGGGCAAGCAGCAGCCCCCGGCCCAGGAGGGACAGGACACCTGGGAATGAAGGGGTGCCCTCAGCATGGGCAGCCTCCTGGAGACCCTTTGAGCTGCAACCCCAGATCGGTGGGGGATGTAAAACCCCAGGCTGGGGCCAGCCAGCGAGGGATGGTGCCAGGGTACCCCAGCTAGGCCCCCCTGTGCAGCAGGCACTGGCAAACAGCAAGGCTGTTAACAGAGGAAACTCTATTAACAGTTAACTCTATTAACAGAGGAGTCCTGCAGGGGATGCTGTTGAAGGGAGAGGGAGCTGCCTCCCCCCATCCACGGGTGCTGCCAACCTTGTGGCCCTTCCCAGGGTGGGGAGGTAGAGCCACCATGGGGCCCAGCAGCAGCAGGACCTGGGTGCAGAGCTCTGCCCACAGATCCCAGGGAAGGCAAGGGCTGGGGCTGTCCCAGGCACTGTCCCCTTACCCCACTCCCTGCCAGGCCAGCCCCTCCAGGGGCAGGGGAGATGCAATAACCACGCCTCTGGTGCTGCTCAGGACCCTGTTCACCCGGCCTGCAGCTCTTTGCCTCTGCCCCTTACACCCTCAGCCCAGCTGCCACCCCCAAAGACCTTCCAGGAGCCAGGTTTAACCCCTTCCTTCCCAAAGAGCAGCCCAGCTTCTCCAGATGGAGGGAAGAGGCCTTAATGAGGCACTGAGACCCCATGCCCACAGGCTGCACCACCCAGCAGCTGAGGTGAGCAGCTCAGCACCCCAAGCCTGTCATTATGGGGACATCAGCCCATGTGAACAAGCTGGGATAGGACTGGGGAATGGGGTCTGCACTGAGCTTGCAAGGCCTCAAGACTGGGCTGACAGGCTTCAGCTGGGCTTGTCTCAGCTTGCCTGGAGCTTTTTTTTGATTTAGTTTGTAACAGCATCTAATTACCAAGTGGCCATTAACTACTTCTAGTTTTGTTTCCCTTTTACAGTGGCATGGTGTGATGTCTGTTGTTAGTAATTCAAGAGTGAGAATGAGTAACAAGAAGTTACACAGAATAAACCCTGGAGTGAAAGTGCAGGGTAGAGCAGTACAGGCCTGGAGGGGTGGGCATACGGTGATAGCTGAGGCCCAGCAGCAACTCATCCTTAGGCAGTTCCTTTCAGTGACACCAATCTATGAGCTGGCAAAAATCAGTGTCGGGGTAAGAGAGCAAAGAACCAGCATCCAGCATGCACAGAACACATCACTTACTATAAAGGCAGATGTAATGTGGAGCTGCAGAGCAATGAAGAGGGGGATAGGATGTGCTAGAAAATGCAAAAAAGCAGTCCCAGTGGACTTGAGAGTGAGGAGGAAAAAATCCCCACTGTGAACATCACACTCCTCCTAGCAAAGGCCTCAGGATACCGACAACTCACAGT